GATGATGATGATGATGATGATGATGATGATGATGATGATGATGATGATGATGATGATGATGATGATGATGATGATGACAAGGTGTAAATAGATGAATAATATATCAACAAATGATAAATAAATACATAATTAATATTTTGATAAAATTATAAAAAATTATTTAAAAAGAATTAATTAATTGAAAAATTAATTTCATCTCATTGATAATAATGTAATCCTCAAAAAATTAATTTCCTCAAAAAAAAAAAAATATGAATTTAAAAATTTCTTTTTTGTGCATAAAATCTAAATGGCTTTATATAAGATTTAAATTTGTTAACTTCCACAACAAATGCCTCCATTAATGCATCATAATGTTCATTACTAATCCCCATTTCACTCTGTATTCTGTTCCTAATTGCTCTCAATTCTATCATAAACACCTCAAGTGTCTACAAATAAACATACAATAAAGTGTATAGATGTATAAAGATTAGTGATTAATTTTTAAGGTTGATCTTTTAACTTTGGAGATTAATTAACATTTAATAATCAATTACGCACTCACCACAGATCCTAATCTCCCACCCCAGATACCAAGCGGTAAAGTTTTTTCATCATATCTTACATCTATTATTTTATCAGAAGAATTTAATAATTCTGGTAATATTTTATTAACGTTTGGTGATAATCCTTGTGAAATTAGAAAATTTGTCACTATAATAATAAATTATTTTAAATTAGTATTTTCTTTTGTCAATATATATATATATATATAATAATTACTTACTGCTAGCATCTAGTCTTTGTATAACAGGTCCTTTATTATAAACAATGCTATCACCTTCCAAAAATTCTATCCAACCACCAGGTTTAGTAACCCTGATTATTTCATTTAGTATGGTGGGCCATTGGGAAACAGTGAATGCAGATGCTAAAAATGATTGATTTACAAAATCAAAACAGTCATCAGGAAATGGCAACCCGTCCAATACATTATATTTTATAAATGACACATTTCTTGGTTTGACAGTTTGTGGAAATATTTGTGATATATCAAGTCCAATGAATGTGGTTGTTTTATATTCCGTTGCTAAATCTAGGATCCAGGTTCCTGTCCCGCATCTGTGAAGGAAGAAAGATGTGGGTGGTGTAGATAGATGGAAAGAAAAGATCGGTTTTTAGTGGTTTATTAATCATGATAAAAAATCAATATTGATAATTAATCTATCTATCTATTTACCCAATATCCAATACTTTGCCACCAGCAAGCAACTTAGGTGCTACAGGTGACAAGAATGTCGCATTCCATTTTTCTTTAAGTAAATAATATTGATTTTCTAATCTTTCAATTTCTTCTTCATCATTTGGATACAAGTATTTAACATTTTCATCCATATGAAATCTTCTACCATCAATATACCTATAACTATCACTATGTTGATGGTGATGATGTTTTTGATGTTGATTTGGTTGTTGATATATATAGATTTCTTGTTGTTGTTTTATTTCATTAGAAAATGGATCACATTTTAATAGTGATTTTGATGAGCAAGTTCCCATTTTTTTGGGAGTTTTTTTTTGTCAAATTTTACAATTTTACAAATGAAAATTTTTTTTTAAAAAAAAAAATCATTTAAAAAAAAAAAACCAAAAAAAAGATTCATTAATTTAAAAAAAAGTATAAAAAAAAAATTTTTTTTTCCGATATTTATATAGTTTTTTATCGAAAATATCTATTTATTTATATAGTCCATCCACCACATTAAATGAAACGCGTAGTATATACATTTAAATAATAATAATAAACAGATGGAAATTAGATCAGAGCCATTAAAAGAATAAATAATAAATAAAATATCAATGTAATTGAATTAACTAAATTAGGTAATGACTACTTTTTGAGAAAATTAAAAATTTTTTTTTAAATTTAATATGCTCAAAGAACGTTATATAATATACGAATTTGAAAGAGTGAGTGAGTGAGAGAAAGAAATAAGATTTTTTATAAAGATTGATTGATAAAAAATAGAAAGAAAAATATATAGATTTGTTATTAGCGGAAATATAACAATCCAATTTATTCAATCAAAATGACAATCATTTATTTATTCCATTTATTTTATTTATATTTACTATTTATTTACGAAATTCCGACAGCACAAGAACTTTAACGATGATTGTTTATGTAATTTGTAATAGCACACAATATTTCCATATTGTACCAAGATCTGCTGGAATCTTGAATCAGCCTAATTAATTTTTCAGGAGTTTATTATTTATAAGTTACTAGATATTTTGAATGGACAAACAAATAGTCACACTAAGAACCCAGTTTTTATATACATATTACATTTTGTCAGTACATAAAAAACATAAAGGGCTTTCTAATGTGACAAATGATGATTATGATATATCGAAACTATGTCAGCATAGTAATAGTAATAGTAATAGCTACATCCTGTTTTCGATTGTTCAACAAACAGTGGTTGAAATACAATTGTTTCTATTGCAATATTATCAAATTCTGATGCTCCCGTAATCTTTCGCTGGATAGACAATAAATGTTTATTAGAGGGTGATGGCAATAATATTTGTTATATTTTTAAAAAGGCTTGTATATAAAAAATACAAAGAATAATGTTGGAAGACATTGAATGCTTTAGAGCGCAGTTTTGGCTTATGTTGGTAAATTAATTAATATTCATGAGTCAATATTATTTATAGTAAAATATTTTAGACAGATAGACATACTACATACATCCAATGAAAAAAGAAAACCTAAGATGTTTTATGTGTGTTTTGTTTGAATTGAGTTTTTTATTTTTATCTTTCTAATCATTTGTTTTGTATATATACTGTATATATATGTGTGTGTGTGATGTACACTCTCACCTACCATAAATATCCGATCACCTGATGATCATTTTTAATAATCGGAAATGTTACCGCCTTGTGCAGTTCAAAATTTTATTAATCAAACCGGGACTGGTGAATTAAGTTAGCATGTTTTTTAAAGTTAATTTGCATTATAAACTTAAAGTCTTGTCGAGTTTGCATTATTAATGAATTTAGGATGAAAATTTTAAATTAGACAAAACATTCCGTGATTTTTATGAAAACTTTGAGCTTAGTAAAAACCTTCAAAACTCCGTTGAATCATGGATCACGTCATTAAGTAAGTTCACTTAAAAATATCTTGAATTATATATGGTTAAAACGTAAATCCTTAAAATTTGCATTTTGTCAACTTTATTAAATGTTTATATAATAAAATTACGGGGTGATCGGATACTTTTTTAAACCCTTTCACAAACTAATTAATCTGTTACGTTGAGCACATTTTATTAATAAAATAATATACATTACAATGAAGAAATTTGACCTTTATTACATGTAAAGATTCGATTGAAAATTTGCTTTTTTGGACTATTTGCTAAATGTTTCCATTAATATCATACCGAACCTTTCGAAGCTTTTGTAATTTAGAGATTTTGATATCAAGTACAAGTCTACTTGGTAAAGTAAAAACGGTTTTATTTAAGAAAACGTTACTTTTTTAGTAAGGACTCTTTTCATTTGACGTTACACAACTTGGGTGGTCGGATATTTATAAAGGATGCATGCGTTTGTCACTCACATATAATCTAAAAACATACATGCTTGTTTCCGTATAGGTTTAATTTATTTGTAGTCGACTGACTATTATTGACAATGAATCCATGCATGTCAAACGAGCAGTGCATCAATCACACTTTTATCTTATCCACGGCGGCAGGCTATCTTTGTGTTTATTGTATTTCAAAAAGTGGCAAAAATAAATTGCTTCAAAGTCAATCAATGTTAAAAGTTAGATTTTGCTTGGAAGTTATAGTTTGGTTTCAACTGAAATGCAATCGCTTTGTGAGAATAGCAAAAATGTTAATGACGTATTAACCTAATAAAAGCATGAAAAATCAATTAGATTAGAATTGTGTGAGAGCGAATGACTTTGTCTTTTCATATTGGATATTATTAATGTGTATTCGATTGTGAAGGTGCTAATGGTGCATCATGGCATACAGAATATTACCAACGATTTCGGGATAGTTATTATTATTACGTTTGTTGGACATCCGATACTTTTTGGCATTCAGATCAATCAGATCAAAAATTGGCTTGAAAATTATCTTGAAAGCGAATTGCAGATCTTTTTTCTAAATAAGGAATCCTCTTATTTATGTATTTAATTAATGTAGATAAATTTCCCAAAAGGTTACACCTCTGTTCCTAGGCCTTTAAAATACTATTACTATTATTCTTGTTGTTGTGGAATTACTATTATTATAATTACTATTACGGAATTTCGGCAAGAGAAAATTCCGTGATTAATTAATTATGTGAGAAAGTTTAAATATTAATATTATTTAATAATACAATTATTACAATTAAAAATTAAATTTCAAAATATTTCCTTATTTTGCCCCTTGGTTTAATTACGCAGTAATTTAACTTTATTGCATTTAATTCGTACTTGATACTACCGTAAATATAGTAATAATATAATTATGGTTAGCGTAATTCCGTAAATAGGATAATAATAATACATTCTTTAGTATTAGTAAATTATTAGAAGTATAAATAATATTTTCATTAAAATTTTTTTTACAACTCGTTATTTTAAATGACTAAACTAATTGCTTTTCACCTGGTTCATCAGAAAATAACGTTAGCAATAGAAATTGATTATGAAATCGTTTGAGCCAATGTACAGATTACGCTAACTGAAATAATAATAACTTACCTGTTATGGTGCCGAAGTTATTACGCTAACTGTAATTATTTACTGTACCGAAATTATTTACTAAAATTATTTACAGTGCCCGAAATTATTATTATTAACACTAGGACCCTGAACAAAATCTAGATGGTACATTGAAAAAAAATACCCACTTTATTACCATTTTTGGAAAATTTTATCCTAATTAAGAAACGATATTCGATTTTGAAGGTTATCTCTACTCAAAATTGAAATGTACCATCTCCTAAGATTGTTCAGGGTCCTCTACTACTACTATTACTAATTCTATCTATAACAGGTTATCTTTATAACCAGACTAAGCCAAATGACCCATTATTATTATATATATAGTAATAGTAACAGAGTGAACTGTCGAATGATTGATTGTACCACATAAATACGTAGATCAGGTCATAGTTTTTAGTAATGCAAATTGAAAATAGAAGATGAAAATATTGAAGATGATGTTATTCAAAATCTTGTTCTTTGTGTAATATTATTTTATTCAAATAAATCACCTGGCCATTAAATGCAAATTCTGCAAACAAAAATGGAATCGTTCGCACATCTAGCAAATTGTGAAATTGTGATTTATAGATCACGAGAGACTTGAAAATAAATCGGAAATGATTTACAAGTTATACATGACAAAAATCTAGCACGGAAATAGTAATACTCCAGGGTTGGCAAATTGACTGGTTCATTGATTTACAAGTTATACGTGACAAAAATCTAGCACGGAAATACTAATACTCCAGGGTTGGCAAATTGACTGGTTCATTGAGACTTATTAATAAAATACTAAATATGGTTAAAATGTTACGCTAATAGATCTAATGGACCACACACACACATTTGCCAATCCTCCACTTTCTATTAATAATAATAAACTTTCTTCCTCTATAATAATAACGGACTCCCAATTTTTAAAAAATCTCAAAAATAAGCTTACGATTATTAGGTCTTAATAAATAAATAGTAGGGCATACTAAAGTATATAGAAAACAAATAAAATGTAATATTTACTATAACATATTATATAAATCCTTGAATTTCTCCTTAAAAAAAACAATGATTTTCATAAAATTGAATTTTTGATTTAAAATCACCTGTTTCGTTTCATTATTTTTTAAAATGTCATGAAATAAGAGAAAACCTTTAACTGCTTTGGTAAAAAGAGAGGTTTGTTTAGCAAAGCAGACAATTCCGATTTCAACAACAAAAAATCAGCAACAATTTAACAAAAATACAACCTAAATTAGATGATTTAATAAACATTTATTTTTATGTTTCGTTAATATTAAAATTTTACAGACTTCATATATTAATATGTAATGATCGACGATTTTTTCTATCCTTGCAGAATTTTCGGGCACTGTGTATTTAAAATTCAATGATGCTTTAAAAAAATAGATTAATTATCATATTCCCGTCTTTCCTTTTTTTTAATATAAACTTGTTATCACTTAAACGGTTAATCAACTATTGATATTTTTCTGATATATAAAATTTCTCTAAGCATATCACCTCCTAATATGAAAATGATCTCTGAGATATAGCCGATCGGGTCTGTAAAAAAAAAAAAAAAATTGGGCGTTGGTTGTCCTTGTGATTTTGTATAACTTTCTTTTAAAAGTTGGTCAATTGACTATTTTTACTTTGCTGGTCGTTAAATCGATCAATAAGAATACGAGATCGTGATTTCGTGTTACAATCAAAGAATACGCTGACCGTTTAAGAGATAGTGTATATATATATGAGCGTAAAAATTATTTTAAAATCAAGTTATTAAGTATTAGTGTTAAAAAAACAAACTTTTATGGGCAATAAATTTTTTTGAAAAAAAAAAACAAATAGGGCTTCCAAATTAGGAAAGACTTGATACGTATATAGGTTTTCCTTGGTTAATAACTCTTGCTCAGAATGAAATAGTTAATAAATGGTTATAACTAATTAATAACTTGGAATTATTAAGTGTATATATAATTAAAGTTCTGTTCTTCGAAAACACGTGATTGGGAAGTGTTTTTATAACTGCAGCTGTGGCGCAGAATGTTGTAGTGACTAAGTGTCTTTGCACTATTAGTACCGGATTCTTTCTATAACGGATATTTTTTCTAATCTCAATGATCTGTTATAGAGAGAGTGAACTGTACTAATTTAATTAACGTATTAATGTTAGTTCATATTCCAGTGTAATTTATTTTAATTCAGAGTTCTATTTAAAGAAAGAATTTAAAACTATAGTAATACGTTCACTTTAAAAAAAAAACACGAATTTTATCTTCTAAAAGTAACATCTAAGAAGCATTAAATTAGAACCAGATTCTACATCACCCAGAGTTCCCGGAAATAAGGGAACTAGATGATTGAAACTTTAGAACATATAAAATAACGTTGTAATTTTATTAACTTAAAATCTTGTCCTTGTGTTGTCATTGATTTTTGTCTTGTATTTATAATAATGACAAACTTGTCTTTAACAATGAAAGTAATAAAAGGGCTAGTCTCCATACTAATCCCGTGTATGATTATTTTATATTTTTCTTTATTTCTTTTCTTTAGCAAGGCTTGGTTTACTAGGGTGTGGCTCTACATATTAGAGTGAAATCTAGAGAGAGAATTGTTAAGTGAGAGATAGTTTTATAGTAAACACAAATTTTTTGTTTATATTCTATACATTGCCTACCAAATTCTTCCAGAGTAAGTTTCATAAAAAAGTCCGCCAAATTCTCCCACTGTATATTAATATGGTGTAACAAAATATTAAATAGTCGAATAAGAACGAACCAAATCCAAGTCCGAGTCCGAGTATATTAATTAGTATCTGACAACTGTTTTAATATTTTCTAGTCTTTAATTCAATACTATTTTTTAAATTAGAATCAAATTAAGTGTAATTTATGAGTATAAAAATATTAATGTTTACAAAGGCATGAAACTCAAAATATAAAGAATATGATTTACACATTTTTGAAGGACCATCAAAGATGTGTATATTAAATTTTTTTACTACATTTATAAGGTTTGTTCGAATTATTTGTTTTTTCGTTATGAATTTGAGTAATCGAATTACATTAAAGTTTATTCGAATGTAACAAATAATAATAATGCGAATAATTCGAATAACTGATAAAACGAATAAACAACGAATAATTTGAATACAACGAATGTTTTGAGTTGTATTACGAATAATCCAAATAAGAATTTGTATTATGAATAGAAATTCTTATTGATATATCTGGAGCATGCTGCAACAAAGTGAACATTGGTATTACCAAGGATTTCAGGGATCAATAGTATTACCATGTAATGTGATCATGATATTTGTCTAGATAAAAATAGTTAATATGAAACTCATTTACATCCGATCTACTATGGAACCCAAAATTACAGCACCATTAGAAGTATTTTGAAGAAAGAGCAAGGTGAAAAAATTGCTCCTTATATTTTCAAAATAAATGATACTCAAGCGCTTTAGCAATATTGCACTTTAGTTACTATTTATCATGAATCCGTACTTTTTGTGTAATTGCAATTCAATGATTTAATCCCGAAATAGTTCTTCAAGTACGAAATCGCTCTTTAAGTGCGAAATCTACGTTAATTTCTACAAATGTTATACGTCACGAAATAGATTAATGCGGAATTAGAGAATTTCAGCCAATGAATTTCTAATTCCGGTAACACTATCAATTTTAAATTTTTATTGGTTTAAAAAAATAAATTCGATTCGGTTTCGTTTGTATGCAAAAAATTTGGTTCGGTTTTGGTTTATAAACCGAAAAGTTCAGTTCGGTTTCGGTTTCGGTTTATTTACATTTGATTGATTAATAAACGTTAGATTCTAGCTAATCTGTTATAATTATTTATCTTTTTATTTTGTTTTTATTTCTAAATTATAATAATATTTGAAGTAATAAAATTTTTACAGTTTCTGATTCTCGTTAAATGGTGGTACTGCAAGGTAGTTTTTTGATTATGGTTTAACTTTTGGGCTACTCTTGAGTACAAAATATCATAAAAATCACGTGCGCGTAAAGAATCTTTACACCGATCGTTTTTGCAAACATGCGAAATAAGAAGTACCGTTATTTTTTTTTGTATATTAATATTAATATATATTACAGCGTGAATTGATTTAAAAGAAGGAATTAAAGTTTGATTACCCCTCGCATGTTTAATCAGATAATAATAACATTTTTCACAGAAATTCTACATCTATGTTATCGCTTGAAATAATAAGTTCTTTGTGAATATGAAAAATTTTTTTTCATGCATCTATTCTGTGATCACGTGACTTTATGATATATCAAATCTATTTTTAGAAAAAAATTCTTTTTGAAAAATTTTTCATAAAAATTTACTGATAAAAGATCAACACTAAAATGTCAAGGCTTGATTACTTTGCAGAGAAAGCTACTTGGAGTTTGATAGGTTTTTTAGGATGGTGCTTGGTCAATCCCAAGGAACTGGAATTTGGAAAAAAGGATGAAATACATCTCACTTATAAAATAAACTTGGAAGATATTAAAAATAAACCAGAGTTACTGTTACTTCGTGATAGTGTTTCAGTTAAAATGTTAGCAGTGGAGGCGTTAGAAAAATTTCAGGTTAAGAAACTTTTTTAAGTGCCATCATGAATAGCCTGTTGACCAAAAGTGCTAGGATGCGTCTGAAAGCCCAACTGATGCGTCCAGCGGGTTGCACTTTTTGAGATTACTCTTCATGATTTTTTTTTGCTATTAACTTTGCCAAAAGTACTAGGATGCATCTGAAAGCCCAATGGATGCGTCTTGTGGGTTGTACTTTATTGATGCGTTTGGATGCATCTAAACAGCATCAGGCTTTCCTTTATATTTTATTCATATTCATATAGGAAGAAACTAAATCGGATGCAGTTAAAACTTTCTGGGATAATCACCCTATGTTAATAAACACTTTGAAAAAGGCAATACCATTTAAATTCTACAAAAATGGTGTCTCAGGTCTCAGAGCTTCATGATGATTTAAGCAATACAATTTATACAGAAACTCAAGATCTACTATTTTCATGTATTTTATTTAAATTTTATATCTACTTTACATAATTTTTTACTTATTTTCTTTAAATGCAAATAATAAAAGATTCAAAAAGAAAAAAGAGTGATTCGCTACAAAACGATATGAAGAAACTCTGTCTTGATTAGTGTTCCATGTCGCAATCCAAAAAAGGAAACAAAATGGTTGTAAAGGTGGTTGCAACCAGTGGTTGCAATCATTTTTATATGACGCAAAGATGGTAGCAACCATCATCAAAAGTTGCAGCCGGTATCCTTAGTCTTGATGAATCAAAAGTAGTGGTATTATTAAGCAAATGGTGGTTATAAAATTAATATGTAGTTACCATTCTTGATATTGATGATTCACAAAATTAACTGCAAAAATTTTCCTAGGAAAATACACTTAAGGAACATAGCAATATTGATGAAGATGCACCTGGTAATATTATTAAAGTAAGTTATCTTCTTTTCATTTATGTTCTTTGGTTTTTTTTCCTTTGATTAGAGGTAATGAATTTCTCCATGAACAGGATCTTAAAAAAAAACAAAAGGCAAGTAATTAAATAATTTTAGTTGATAATTTTTTCTGATTTTCATTCAGATTTAGCAAATGAGTGAACATGACTTGTAGTGTAATCAATCAAATTGATCATACCCATTATATAGATTGAAAATGAAAATGAAAAAATTAGTATTGAAAAAAAAATTTTTCTTGAATTAAGGAATCAACACATTTATCCACTTTGTAAACCATTCAAAAACTTTCTGAGGAAGATGCAGAGGAATTATTTTATGAGATAGATAGTAATACGACTATTAAATTCAATCTTCCTAAAAATATAAAGGAATACCTCCAAGATCTACTTAGTGGTAATATCAAAAATGCATTGTTCAAGATAGAAAAACCACTCAGTGATACAAGTCAATTGTTATCATGGATTAGAGAAGTTTGTAGACATTTTTTTCTTTATTACTATCACGGTGGCTTACAAACAAATGGTAGTGAGAAAACCTGGTCACTGGTCGCAAAACTGTTGCTCAGATTCTTCAAGATGCTAATGTTCCAGAAGATGCCATAATGGGATTAACAGGTCACAAAAGCATACAAGGTGTTCGTGCATATAAAGAAGTAAATGAAAAGCAGCATCTTGCTGCTATGGATACTTTAATCCATGCTATAGAACCATCAAAATCAGTTCTTGGTGATTCAACTTCAATAAATAATTCTTTAAACATTAATAATGCTATACCAGAATTTTCTTTTGACACTCAAACCATTTATCATATACTTGATTTGTTTTCAGTTTTTTTTGGGAAAACAATATCTGGTATTGCATTGTAGGTATCCTTTCTTCTGTTTATATTTGTTTTATGCTATATGTGTTTTAATATTAATAATATTTATGATTACAGTGGTGAGATTATGAATGAAGCACATAATGATAGAGCATATAATATAAATCATACTCAAAAACCATCAAATTCTGGATGTGTAAGTAAAAATGATGCCATCTTATATCAAGATGAAATTCCTGCTGTTTTGTATGAACAATCATTTGAGCCCACAGAATTCATGCTAAAACACCAACTAGAGGATTTTGCCAAGCTGGTGCACAATTAGTGTTCCATGTCGCAATCCAAAAAAGGAAACAAAATGGTCGTAAAGGTGGTAGCAACCATCATCAAAAGTTGCAGCCGGTATCCTTACGCACAATGGAGTTGATGACTTGAATTTTCATTTTAAACAAAATGGAATTGTACAACTACTACAGCAAAAAAATTTAAATCTATTGGAATTCACGGTTATAGTAAGTATTTTTCTTGTTATATTTATGTAAATAATATGAGACTAACTATTTTATCTTTTTAAAATATTTAGTATCTGTATATCTCACTGACATTATTTGTATTGGCACTTATAGAATTTATGAAGTATTCAGTTGTAAAATTCCAATATCATATTCAGAACAATGGCAACTAGTTAACATTGCAAAGCTTGGTGCACTTCTAGAGGTATTTCTTCTCATTATTAAACTATTCAATTTCTGTTATAGGAACTCCTTATTGAACAACAAAATATTAAGGAAGAAATGTCAAAAGAAAGTATTCTAAATGATAGTAATACTGATTGTGTATATAATTGGATAAAAATACCAAACAATACTCCTAAAAGTAAAACAATTAATAAATGAAAATGGCATTATTATTGTATGATAATTGTCAGCAATTATATAATAAAATAATTAGATCAGACGAACTAATTTAACATCCCTACTTGCCTTTAGCAAGCAGAAAATATTACTTATAAGCTATTCAAAACAAATTTAACATTTACTCAACTAATTGGGTTCACATCGATTAAGCCTGTGAATAAAAGATCATTAATTAATTAATTTACTTGTGAGTTTATTGATATTTACCTGTACTCAGCTCTAATTATGCCCGTTAGTAGAAAGATCATTACTTATTAAGCTATTTGAATTATTCTTGCCAATTAAAATAATATTTCATGTAATGTCAATATTAGTAAAGCTGACCCTGGTAGTCGATTTCGCATACATAATCACATTTACATTTGCATGGATTTCACTAGATGTAGTGTACTAGCACACATGTTTTTGATTGGAAATTTTTATTTTAAGTTAACTAACAAAAAAACCATTTTCCAAGACATGTCCAGTAAAATTCTTTTTCTGAACATTTCTATAAATTAATATTAAACATGCAAACTCAAAGATACAAATCTAAAGACTTATCCGAAATAGATTCATTGAAGCTGGAATTGGAACAAATAGTAAAAGAAAAAAATGCACTTGAGACAGAGAACATAAAGGAGCTTGAAAGGATTCCCTTAATTCTGCAAATTGTTCCTTGGAATTCTCAATCACATCCTTTTTCTAAAAAATCAATTGCCTTTTGATATTCAGTAGATCCATTATAATTACTTTTTGTATACTATAACTCTCCTTATTTATATAATTTTATGTTTATTTTTATAATAATGTTCATTTTTATTTTGTAAAAAAAAAAAATTGATTATTTTATTAAAGCAAATATATAAAACATGAATTGATTATTTCATTTTCTTTATAATACATTAATCTATTTAAAAAAAATAAGCAATCAAGATGACTTAAAGTGTTTACTATCTGGAGAGCTGCTTGTCATTTCTTCTAACAACTTAAGTTGCTCATTATATAACCATAATTTGAGAAAAAGCATTTTTACACATTTTTCCAAATCATCATCAGAAGTCTCTTCATCTAATGGTAAGACAATAGCACCACTATTTGCTCTATAAATTCGTTATAACAGATTTTAAATGTCTAAAATCTGTTATAACGAGAGTTGACTGTACCCAATTGAATTTTTTTATTCCATATGTAGCTTTTATAATAAAATTTTTTTACTGTTTCGTTTCTACCAGAAGGATAAACTATGACAACATGAATAATAGTATCATAAAAGAGACAAATGAATAATGAATCAAATTAATAAATAATCAAATGGAATGAATGAAAATAAATCCAACATTTGCATTGCATGATCTTTACCTGTATTTTTCTCTTTTAACTTCTTTAATTCTTGTGTTAAACTGAAAATTTCTTTTTCCAACACCTCTACCTTTTTTCCCACTCTAAAAAGAATGTGGGAATAATGGTGCATAATTAATGTTTGCAATATTGAATAATAAATATTAAATTTATTGAAATAAATACTTTTTCATTGTTTTCTTTATTTTCATCATTCATGCTAATAAAACAATTTATCTTTTACAAGAAGAGAAAGTGCGAATGTTGTTGTTTGGTATGGCTCTCCTAAAGACAACAAGGTATTGTTTATGGCAAGAGGTACACAATTTTTTGTTGCATTGTAATTTTTTTTTTATTGTTTATATAAATGTACAGTCAAAGCTCATTACAGTGAACCCCTTGGTTCCTAAGATTTTGTTCACTATAACAAAAGATCTCTTTATAGTGAACATATTATATAATTTAGTGTAAAGTTCACTATAATGTGAGTTTTTATTTAATAATAATAAAAAAAATTATACATGAAGTTTTTAAAGTCATCTATTTAAACATAGCGGGCTTTATCTGTGATTTGTTGATCCATAAAGAAATTGATTGGATAATTTTATAATATGCCGATCATTATTAAAACTTTTTAATATTGCTTTCAAGACAATAAAATAAATATATTCTTAGCAATATTTTTTATTTGTAATTGGTAATAAATAATTCACATCAGGAAATTTTCCCCACTGCAATATTATGTCCGTAAATTTTAATATGTAAAGTTGTAATATTTGCATAAAAATTATGTAATATTTACACTCAATATAATAATTGCATAATTTTTGTATGCTTATTTGCATAATATTACAGGCCCGCTGTAAACTTACATAAATAGTGTAATAATTACATAAATCTGCATCAGAAAAATTTCCTGATGCAGCAAAAACATTAGGCAAAAACTCTTACTATAATTACTATGTAATAAAGTACACCTATGGTTTGAGATAGCATATCCTATAACATTGAAAACCAACAAATGTATCATTTACTCACTACTTGATATATTAAATTATTACATAGTTCTTATCTAATGAATGAAAGATATTGAATATTAGATATTGATATATTAAATCTTGAATAAATTATAAATATTATAAATTATAAATATTAAATTGTATTAAATAAATTATAAATATTATAAATTATAAATATTAAATTGTATTAAATAAAATTATAATTATTAAATAAATTCATTCATGCATTCTCACCATAGACTAATAACACCATTATAACCAACTCATGTCTTCTTTTGGTTCAGTAGTCCTTTACATGACATGATTTAGAACTATGAAATAGTGCAAGAATTATGATTAATGTTTATAAATGTACCTTCTAACAAATTAAATAAAATACAAAGAATAATTTAAATAAACGTTTTACACATCCAAATCACTAACCAGAATATTAAACAGAATGTAGGCTTTCTATTAGTATTATTTATGGTTCCTAACAGTTGTTAAATGATTTAATTTAAGTTTATTATTTCAGCAAACATATGATTTTCTAATTGCAAAAAAGACTTCTATAACTAACTTCTGAATTACTTCACTTTTTACTGAATTACTTTGGTAGTCTATAAAATAGAAGGTGAGAAATCAGAATATGTTGCTGTTATTGCCACAAAATTGATTTTGGTGACACAAAGTCGAGTTAAAGTCAGATGTTGGTCAGTTTGTATATGAAACATATGTAGTGTAATTAATGCTGATCATTTCTTAAAATTGAATACCCGCTATGTTGTTATATAGTCTGTGCAGCACCACTTTTCCTAAATGGTACTTTTTTGATTTTACAATACAGTGCAGTCAGGATTATTACCAAATATGGAATTTCCAAATACTGTAAGGCTAGACAATCTAGAAATCTTTTAGAAAAAAAAACAAACAAAAATGATTGGTTAATTTTATGCTGATCTTTTCTTTGATAAATGAAATAAATTAAAATAATGCTTTTTTATGAAGAAAACGTGGTGAAGGCTTTATTAAATGGTCATATAACCTCCAAAATTTATGTATTATGTTTATTTTTAACTGCTTTATGAATCTATCATAAAATAATCAATAACTTCAAATTATAATCATAAAATTACCATAAAATCACAATAACTTTTTTCATAATACTGATGAAATGTTTGAGTTATCAACCTGTCATTCATTCTCATTCACCAGGAATCTTGTTATTAAAATTAATAAATAGTATCATGGAATATATTATAATTATAAATTAATTTGTAAGCTTTTTGGTATAAATAAAGTCTATGCCAAATTTTGTATATATACACAGTAAGTCTCGGTATAGCTGATGTCTAATAAAACTCTCAGTTTAATGGATCAAAGCTCAGAACCATCTATAAGTAAATTCTCTCGGTTTAACAGATTTACTAATTAAATCTTGAATTAATCTCAGTATAACGGATTTTTGAAATTTTTGTTCTAATTGCCCAAATTATCCGCTATACCGAGACTCACTGTGTATAT